AATTTCCGGTTCCGTGAAATGCTTTTATTTGTATTTCTGGAACTATTGGAGCAAAACTTGTTTGTCGACGTGTTACGAAATTGAGAATTTCTCTGGCTTTCAACTGTCTTGATTTACGTGTGAAGGGGGTGGCTGTTTAATATATTATATTAACTTGTTTCCGACGCTAGTTTGCATGCGCAAAAGAATGCACTTGAATCTGGATATTTTTATTCAGAAAATTTTGCAATAAAATAGACAATAGATTATTCGATTTTTTTTGTCAATCTTACAAATTACGTCAATCTCATAATTCTTACAAAATTGCTTGGTTTTATTAGTTAATCTCCCGGAGAATGGAAGGGATGCAGTTTTTCTTTCATTTTAGCTCAAAAGCCATTTTTCCCTTCACTTCATCAAAAATTGTACTCTAAATTCAAAAACAAAAGATTATAACACCCGCAGAGTACTTCCCCCTAGCCATTATGAATTCATGACTGCTTAATCTCCCGGGCATTGCAAAAAACCCGGAAACCCAAAGAAACCGAGACAAATAGAAAAGAAAAAAAATATCAAACTGAATCATTTATGAATGAGATCCGTGGAATAGGGATGAGCGAGTGGTAGAGGCTCGGAAAAAATAAATAAATAAATGAAAAAGTTGCGTCGTCGTTATTATAAAGAATTCGTAACCAGGGAAGACAAACGGTGATAAGTTGATACAAGGAGGTGGCGGTTATTCCATAGTCCGGGAAGATGAGGTACTGTGGTGGGAGGTAAGTGGGTGGTGGGTGGAGAGGGTGGGAGTGGTGAGAGGGTGGGTGATACCTTCGTCCGTCGAGTTTTGATGCATTATGCATTGTCTAGAGCCACACGGTAGGCAAAACACGAATATCATTCATGAAAAGTTTAACAGCTGCGAATGACCCCGTGACCTCTACAGCTGTATCAGGCGATGGGTTATTCACTGTTGAATGTCATGACACTTTCATTGCCCATTCCGGAATTACCATCGCATAATAATTGATTAATAAGTATTGATACATCAAAATTAATATGAAGTTATTTTTTGTAATGGCCTTGAAGTCATGGTATAGTGAGCAATAGGAATGGAATTCCATTTTTATTTCTTAATTGACCGCATGACCTTGAGGTGATTATGGAAGTAGCGATGAATGAGCGTAAGGTCTATGTTAAGTTTAATATAAAACGAATATGATGTATTAAGATATTAATGCATGCAATGTTACATTTGATGTTCGTTTGAATGGCGTGGGAAATATATTCAAACTAATGATGATGATTAATGATAATTTCGAGACGAGAAAATTCCGACTTTTCGCATGGGGGAAAAAAGTTTCCTGATTGTAGAAACTTTTTTGGAGCATCCAGAAACTTTTTCCTTGTGTCCATCAACTCTAGTAGTTTCAGGAATTGAAGCGAATAGAAAGGGAAAGAATTTGATTGAAGTGATACAGCTAGGGATTTTAATTGCAATATTCGATTAAAAATCATAAAATTACTGACACAAATGTAGACAATTGAATTTTAATTCAACTGGAAAATTTCCAGTAATACACTTGCTGTATAATTCACATCCACTCCAATCTGGTGAATGAAACATTAATCCAAGCACAAGGTAGCTAATGGATTTATGGATCATACCACAGATTTGAATAATTAATATGAATTATTCCTGCCGAAGAGATTGATTATTGAGAATTGCCAAAACTGAAGTTCTATATTTTTTTTCCACTTCAATCACTGATGTCAATTATTTTTATGTTCTAGATGCGTGCGTCAACATGGCAGAAGGGTAAGTCAATCTTATCAATAATCGATATTCATCGAATCAGAAGATAGTCCCCGCGAATTTTATCCCGGTAACTGAAACTCGCGCGAAAAAAGAAAATTCGTTGAACTATTTTTACACACGGCGAATCGATCGTATTTTCGTACTTGTACAGAACAATGTGCGTGGTACGTTGATGGCACCAACTCTTATCTGACACAGTGGCTTATATTACAGTAACTACCATGGATTCAGCAAAACTCCATGTGTTGAAGCTTATCTGACAGTTACTCGGGCACGTTTTGTGATGATGCTTTTGAATTGCGTCCGCTCTCTGCCAAAATATTATCGTACTATCATCCCTCCACTCATTTTTTTTTCTCTCTCTACTCTCTCGTGACTATTTCCACGCATAACACATGCTGTTATATTTTTAAACCCACTTTCTAGTAAATTACAGACATGACAAAACGAGTTTCAACGAAACTCGGTGATTTATCACCGAGAAATAGAGGATTAAAAATGTCAGGTTACGTAGATACAGTGTTTTGACTGTTTTTTTTACCGGTTTTTCATTAATCATTAACTGTTTAAATTAATGGGAAAATAATACGGTAATCATTTGAGCGTCAGAGCCAGCGCAATCTGTGATTCTTTTAGAAGACTAAATGATATTGATTTCAGTCAAAAACTCATTTCAATTTTTAATTGTATGAGTTTGAATTCAATTTCAACTACAAACTGGGAATAATTAATCAATATTACTTATTAATATGAACCAGATACGTAATTGATTAATTAAATAATCAATGGTGTAGACCCAAATCGATAGACATTAAAAAAATATATTTCTCTCGGACTCTTATGGGATATTATTTGAAAATTGAAATAGGGCTAGAAGGTAATGCGCAAAACTAGGGTCTTATCGCGATAAAGGGAATAGGTTTATCTTTCTGCAGATAGTCCAGTACTTTTTGTCATAATTTTTTGCTTGCCCAGTGGATTGGTTGAAAAGCCATATGTAGGTTAGGTACGTGCATATCCTAGACTCGTGTGTCAGCTTATCTTATCGCAATTTCCTAATCAGTGAGACGAGCCACCAGGTCATGAGCTTTCGAGGGTGCAGAGGTATCGCGGAGGGGGTTTGTTGTATGTTCCATTGGTGAAACGTAGCGTCCAGTCTACCTGGTGGACAAACAGTTTATAGAGGTTCCCCAGTAGACGGTTATCGGCCATTGAGATAAGATAAAGTTTATCGTCCTGTCGGTCATAATAGTTGGTGCGATAAAGGGCACTTATATCTTGTAACGAGACTGATGGCGTCTTGTTGTGGGGATTATCATTAGGGATAAATGATTATCCACTGAACCATGATTTATCGGAATTTTTAGCAGTCGATTAGGATTAGGACACTGGCAGGTGTCATTGTCAAGTTTTGGCGAATGAATTATCATTGGACTAGAGGACGATGAGTGTTAAATTTTAAACCGTTAATTGCTACTCAGTGAGGGCCTATTATAGTCCTCGAATGACCTGGCCTCAACGTGCCAGTGGGTTCATCCGTCATTCGGCATCGAATAAGTGCCTTGAGGGGCGAACGTCACGCCAAAGTAAACAAAATGTCAGGGGGATATAAATAAATCTCTTCGGGTGAAACCCAAGTTAGATGGCCTGTCTTAGTCCCACCTTTGGCTGTGTTCTTCGGATGGATTGAGTTGCACCGAACTTAGATAGTCAATCCTTGAATAATGTCTCTCATCTAGAACGTTTCAACGGCTGATAAACGGTTTTTCTCGTTTTCCCCCATTCCTCACAGCCTTAAAGTCACACGAAATCGGTATTAATGAGAAGTTTTGTTGGACAGCCAGGGAACTTTCGATCGAAATTTAGAAGAAAAAAAATTAATCCTTTTGCACCCTTAGCTCAGTAGCTCGCGAAATATTGTCGGAGAAAAAAAATAGAACTCGATCGGAAAAACCCTTCGGGAAATAAATCTAGCTGTTGTTGATCTTTATTAATTTGGTGATGAAATTAATCATCGGGTCTTTTCTGATGGAATTATCTACAAATTACTGGAGGTTATTTCTGTAGATTTGGTAGATTTCGATAGATTTCAATGAATTTCGTGATAGGTAGATTGCATAAATGCTAAATTTCCATCTGTACGTTTTATTTGTAAAATATCTGAAGCTTGCATTCGGTAGAGTTTAGTAAGGATCGGTAGAACTTCTAATTCTCCATCAGCCTCTTCGTAATCTGACGTTGGAAGCGTAAAATTGACCGTTTTCAACACTTATCGGGACATTGTATCTTGACTTCGATCCAACATTAGTCAAACACGATGCGACGACAGCCAATTTAGCTCATTCATTAACGAGAAAATGGAGGCTTCCCATTTGAGTGGTCTTTTGAACTAACTCAACTGTATCCAGTTAGTTGAGATCCCTACGTTTCACGAGTGCTTTCAATAACGTTTCAAGATTTCTGATCAAGCCCTCTTCCCCTTTCCATGGACGACGGAATGAACGCAACGGAACTCGCTCTGATGGATTGAGCAAACTTCGGGTTCAACCGTACAACTTGTATAACAAGTCAAAACCCCTTTAGCATCACCCGTACTCAAGTTATAAACAACAATAATTCATGCGGGGGTGTTGGTCTTACCGTTGCGGTGGCCGCAGTCTGCCGGTTTCATCTGGATTGGTCGGTGCATCTGTAATGGAGACAGATTATTCAATTAGTCGTTTGAAAAATTTTGGAAAAAAATTTGTAATCATTTGTTTCCCATTAGTGTTTGGTCTCCGTAAAGACAAATAGCTGAAGTCATACCGTCTTCAGCTACCGACAAATCTACCGGCAGATGCATTTCCCAGATATTATATCTACCAATTCTTCCGGTAGAGTGGAAATTCTGGTCATTGATGATCGCCGATGGACTTGTTATATTTTCGTTGATGAGGAATATTCAGAGTTTTGTACTCTACAGGTAGATAAATAAATCGTGGAAGATTTTGGTAGAGCTAAAATTTCGATGGCGACTTTTTTTCAGAATTTCATACTTTCATCAAGTGGCTTTCGCCATTTTTTCAGTACAGTAAGATAGATCCGTAGATTGCAGTAGATTTTGGTAATCTGGTAGATTGTTCATTGCAACCGAAATTGAGATAATTCGGGACTGCTTCACTAATCTCATCAATAAATCTGGATAACATCTAATCTAATGCCATTTTATGTCGGGATACTTTGAATTCAATTTTCCTTTAGTATGGCATGTTTTCTTTACGTTACATATTGCTAGCGCATATAATACACGTGTCCTATGGGACGCCGTTATTACTGTACTGAGCACCGCTAGCATGAAATTCATATCTATGCTAAGTGCAAGGCTGTTTCGGTTTAGTTCAGTGTATACGGTACCCGCGTTGTCCATAACTTTGTAACGGCTACCTGATTTTTTTTTCTCTCATTTTATTGTTGTCTCTAAAAACGAGAACAGCTAAAATCGAAAATAGGTGGCGACTAGAGAGGGCAATTGAATTTTCACTCTGCGGTCTGTTGCAGTCACAATAAAAAATTCTTGTTTACAAATTTTAATTTTTCTCCGTTTTCTCTGGATTCGGCGGAATTATTTCTCACGGAAATGTAAGACGCATTATCGAACCATCGAACAAATAAATTTTCACTTCTAATGCGATAAATGAGGATTGAATGATTATTTTATTCGCGATTTATGAATAATGGATTGTGGGAATCAATTGGGCATTGGAAATGTTGGAATTTGTTATTCAAAACTCTATGAAAATCAAATGCAATTTTCTATCTTCAGCTTCATGGAGTATTCAGGGTAATCTCCATCTTCAACTGCACGAAAATTCAGCGGATATTTTCATCTCTTGGATTTTATCAACTATTCATTTTCATTGTTTCGGGGGTGAAGTTTTTCGGATTAGTTATAGAAAATCTGCAGTGAGAAAATAATTCTCTGATTTCAAATAAAGGTTATTCCTCTAAACAATTACCCATGGGTTAATGAGTAATTGTTTTATTAACAAAAGAAATGTTGGATCCTCTTCGAAATTACATATTAATTGGAGTTTATTAGGGATAAATTTAATTGAATTACATTCAATTACATATGATAATTTCATTTGTGTTGTGGATATTAATTCCTCACGGCAGAAATGACTTTCCCGGTGAATATCACTCGTGTGTTTGTTATCTAACATTTCGAAGTGGTAATAATAGCGGATATGGATTATTGTTCATTTCTCCTGGTGAAAACTCGGATTTAGTTGATGGTATTGTGAATAGTTGAGGTCAACCCAGGACGCGGGTAGACAAAAATCGATGCCTCGTGAGTTAACCATCAGTGCTTGTAACGATGGCCTGTATCGTGTTTTGTTAAAAATTCGTTTCACGTACAGCCAGGTATAGTCGTAACACCGTCGACAGAATGACAAAAAGCACGTGAAACAAGTTGACAGAGGAACGAAAGAGGTACACCCCCAGACCGTGGATTGTATACAGGCATATAGAGAAGAAGAGTGTGAAAAATCAGCATCGATTTTTCTCTCTTTCTCTATAAATTAGTTTTTTTTTTTTGACTGGATTTCATCGGATTGACATCTGCATTCGGTTAAAAATTGATTCAAACTTTATTCCCCACGCTGTTCTGCATCTGTTCGACAATATTTTTCATTCATTACATTTTTTTTTCACCACGATATTCTCATGAAAATAACAAATAGTGTTTATTTAATTTTTTTATAGTACTATTCGCATTGAAAAAGGCATTTGTGAAATTTATATTAAATATACATACTCCGGCCTATAAATTCAAAATATGAAATATATGCTGAATGTATATTATTTATATATTTAGCATACAGCTTATTTATTATACAGCTGATTTATATATAAAGCAAACAATTCAATATTTCAAATAATTTTCAAAATTTTTTATTTCCCAAAATAATATTATATTTCTATATTTTATAAATGACAGATGTAATTTAACCCCATCAATGAATTTTCACGATCGAATGAATTTCCCTTATTCTCGGTTCAATTTTTATTTGTTAACATTTACATATCGATTTGTACACGAGTATAACAGTAACAATGCTGAAACGAATTTTCTTCTCGGATTTCAGTCGTTTCTGTTCAGTGTACATTTAATACATATATACCAGTTGTTATGGAATATCGTCGCGTTGTGTAGCGGTCGTTATCGTAAGGCCGGAAACGGGTTTCGAATATCGATTTGGTCGCGACGTCTCGAAAGTGGTATGGGGAGTATTCAATTTCCGGGAGCCACTGGTAAGGTACACAAAAACTTGTACACGTCGGTTGGGGTATCTATGTACCCTCCCCCTCCGACAAATAAGATTAATTCTCTATCTATTATCATTATCCTCTTTTTTCCCCTTCGCCTTCGATGAAAATCGACTTTTGTTTCGCCTCTTCGGTTTTGTTCTCCACCCGGTAGATTGGTATGATCGTGCTATCGGGTTCATTGTATTCTTCTCTACAATGACGGTGAGAAAAATAATTGCTGAATGAGGGGAGGGGGTGGGGGTATTAGTTACCAATTTTTGTGATAACCGATTGTTTGCTGTTTCATTTATAATTGAGATCGCCAGGAGAGCGTGCGAATGGGGAGGATTTTTCGGTTGAGTAGAAAATCTACCGGCTGTCAGCTCTGACAATTAATTTTTCACATAATCGATTTAATTATTTGACAATTGGCTTCATGGGATGTGGATCCTGCTAGATTTTTTATTGATCATCAATTTTTTGAAATCATCTACTATTCTCTACCATCTGTATCCTGGAAGAGATTTCGCTGGACAGAGTTGTTATCACCGGAGTCTCGATTGTCAATGGACTTGTACTTTTAATTTCTACAAAGTACATATCGATTTTTTCGATTCTCTACTTGTGGTAGAGCAACTGGTATATTTCGGTAGATTTTTTGGTAGATTATCGGTAGATTTTGGTAGAGCTAGAAATCGCCGAAAAAAATAATCAAGAAGCTCGTTATTTTCATCGGTCTTTCTCATTTTAATATATATCCACGTAGGAAAACTCCATCAAGAGTTGAAATTGGTTTTGAATAATGGATTTTCGGTTTAATGCTCTCACATTGTATTTTATATCCAACCCTGTGAAATTGTTAATAGTTGGGGATGAAATCCCAGCACACTTTTGTGTATTGAAACTAAACGACAGGCGACGTTCACTATTCCCCTACCAAACACGTACATTATTATATCCCCCCAGGAGGTATGGGCACGTTCCGTGCGCGTTTCAACGTTCCTATACTTCTTGTCGAAATCAATTTCGTTCGGCACGTCGTGAATTTCCGTTTTGTCTCTTCCTTCTTTCATCTCATTCCAACAAATTTTCTCTCACCTTGAGGAGCAATAATGTTTTCTGGATTTTTATGGGGGTGGGGAAGGGGGAAGGGGGGCGGGGGCACAGTAATGGAAATTGCAGTGAATTTAATACAGGTTTAGGGATGTTGATGAGAAATGTTTCCTAGTTTATATCATTGAATTTCTCGTGTTCACCGTACAGGTGAGCTCGAGCTATTCTATGGAAAAAAGTAATTGTAAAAATTCTAATTGCATTAATTTAAATGTAATTACCGCGTATGCCCGCCCGGTTAAATATATATTTTGGTAAATATTGAGATGAAGTAAAAACAATTTAATTGTTAATGAGTGTTGTTTAATTTCCGGTGACTGATGTGGTATTTGATATATCAATAGAGTAGAAAGATAAATTTAACGGTATTGAGCTATTGCAATATCATAAAACGGATGAATATCGTATTTCCGTAGAAATAAAGATCGTGAGGTGAAATTGAAATAGAAATGCGAAGGGTTTCGTCGTAACGTGAGGCAGGTAATTGATGAATTTGTTATGAAGTTGTGCGGACGGGTCAGGTTATTTGCACATTGGAATATACTTTGGGGCTTCCGGTATAAACCGGGGTCAACGGTTACACCGGAAGTTACTCTGGTCATAATGAACAATGGCGGAAGAATTTGTTGGACGTGTAAGTTTGACAAAATTTTTTAGTGAATTAATAATTACTCCCCAGAGATAGATTTTAATTGGAAATAATTGGAAATGTTAAAGTCAAAAATATTTTATCACATATAAAATGGAGAATATCGGGGTACATGTAATTAATTAAATTTATCCTTTATTGGCAATGAGCAATTCTTCAGCCAATACATTATTCAATTGATATGTATACAATTTTAGCTGATTAAGGGAAATTTAATTTCCCGATTGGATACATTTAATTAACTCTTCGTATTTTCATGGAGTTGAGCATTAATCATTTTATTAGAACATTGTAGAACACTGCGTCTATCGAATACCCCATGTTAAATTCATTTCCAAATACCTAAAATATTAATTACTTGGTAATTATCGAAATTGGAACAATTACAATTAGAGCGTTTACAGTTTCCATTCGTACAAATTGTTCATTCTCCATTCTCTCTCGATAAACACCGGTCAGTACCTCCGATGTTTCAGTGATTTGTACGAGAAGAGAAAGAGAAAAAAAAAACAAAAAAAAAGTTGGCCGGAAAAAAAAAAGAAATTGGACATAAAAATTCAATTTCTTCAACCCACTTTTTCTACCTTTACCAATTTTCTTTTTTTCTTTCGCTGAAACTCATTCGGAGGTAATTAACTGAAACCCGTGGAACTCAAACGATAAATTGAAAAAGTTACCCCCTTTCTGATGAATGGGAAAAATAATTTACTCATGGAAAACAAAGAAATCAGGGCAGAGAAGGGAATTAAAAAGAAAAATCAACGATTTATTATCGGTAGAGCGATAGTATCAACAGTTTTCGAAAAACTTTATTGAATGTCGAATCAATTGACAACATAATCAACCGCCCAGAAATAAAAATCGAAAAAATACCGGTGATTGTCTACCCGATCTCTACCCACATCTACCGAAAGTAAATTCCATGGAAATCGGTAGAGTTGATCCATTCAAAATTAACTACAACCAATTTCCTTCCATCAACCACCCCCCCTCCCCCCCTGATAGCCGTCAAAATCTATTCTCACATCTACCGACAATAAATCTACCGACTCTACCAATTTTCTCCATTCACTATTTTATTTCAAAATTACTCCCATCATATCACAGAATAGAACTACACGACATGTGATACATTCATCAGTCGGTAGATTCCCCTCGGTAGATCTCTGGAGGGTGACACCTGTAACACTTTCCAATAAATAACTGATACATTATCGAGGCTGTCACATTATTCCACTCCCCATGAGTCGGACAATACGAGTGACGCTTGGGTAGGCGGGGGAGTAGGGGGTGGGCTCTACCGACCCCCTCTTATGTCCCCTTAATATTGCAAGAGGCGGAGTTTGCGTTATGTAAAACGAGTAAATGTGGGTCAAGCAACGTGGATAGTCCAGCAGTCACTACGCGTTGCCCTCCCCCTTTCACCCTCAGGCTCACACACATAAGTAATCAATGGAGAGGAGTGAGGGGGGAAAAGTGTGTGTAGGGAGGGGGGGCTATTTTCCGTATACACATCCTCAGCGTTTTCGTCGACTTGTGAATTATTTTCGTCATTCCGTCATGTCTGTTCAGAAAATTTTCCACCATGAGAAAGCTAAACGCCTCTTCAACGAAAAGTATCTAATTTGAGTCAAGATCCGACGGTATTCACTTGCAATTACTTCGTTTTATCTTTTTTTTTCCATCGCTTTTGCATTCGCGGTGTTAAAATAATTCCACGGTAGAGATCACTCTGGGGGGAGGCTAGGCAACCTGAGCAGACCCTGGATTACACGGAGTGTTATCTATCATTTATCTTCCAAGTCTTCGGGCTTTTTTTCTCTTCGCTGTATTTATTTCATACCAATGGTAACACGCGAAAAGCGCCAAGGGGTGGTAGAGGGTGAAAATGGGGTGGTTGGATAGGGGTGGTTAGTACGTGCATCGACCGCTCAACGAAAACGAACGAGCCCGCGGAAAACCCCTTCCCCGCTGGTTTATGTATACGCAGTTGGAATATTCAATTGGCCTTTGGATTTCCGGAATGGTGGGGTAGAGGGTGGTAGAGAGAGGTAGATTGAGGGTAGATCGCTGGCGCGAGGTAGACTAACCGACAACCGGAGCTAACGTCCGCACTTTCCGCCCACTAATTCACCATACGATTACATATATATGACGAGAAGGCAGTGGATGGGTTTGAGTAACATCACGTTTTCAATTAATTCATATTTTCATGAATTTTAGATACGTACAACGGAGGTTTTGCTTTTGATTGTGGTTACGTAAGAGATGAAAACAAGAGGTAAATGAATTTTCTCTTGGGCATGAATTGAGGGGTTAAATTAGGTATGGATTGTTTATTCATTGGGCTGTGTTTGCGAATGTGATTTTGTTGCGTTTGAATTTCAGAGGTTCTTGGTGGTATGGAATGTTAATTTGAAAATTCGGGAAAAAGGGGAGCGGGGAGTGCATCTACCAGCTGTAATTGTCTCTACCGATTGTTCATTGCCGTAATTGAATTTAGTTGGAGTAGCCATAATGGATTAGACATGGTGGTCATTTCCATTTTTTTAAATAATTATTGACTGAGAATTTTTCAATCCTCAGATCATTCTGTAGGAAATCGATTTCAATGATTTAATTTCTTTCATTATATTCCTCGGACTGTCCAGATGATATTAAAATCGGAGGTTTGTGATCTCGCCTTCAATTAAGGAATCGTGGCTTTATGATTTCAAGATTTTCACGATATTCGGTTGTGTCAAGCGTGTCCCTTTTAGAATAGGAAAAGAGAAACCATAACCGTCATATTCCATACTTCTCAGAATTCCCATCAATAAAAATGTTCTTCACTATTGACCATAAACATTGAAAAATATAAGATTTAATTTTTGCCTCGTATTATTTCAAACAGAAATTCAGCATTTCATCCCCAAAATCGGAATTATCAAAGTGATAATTCAAATGAATTTTACATTTAAATAGAATAGCTAATTGCAAGTTGAAAATTGAGCTTGAGTTCTCTTTGAAGCCTTGAGTATCAACAATCTCTCGGTAAATTTCCCTTCACTGTCAATTAAATGTGATAATCCCGGGGATTTCTTTTATTTTTAATATGTTTGTCCGTTTGAAAACGGAACTCGGTAGCGGTAGAGTTTAAAATTGTGCGAGAAGGGGTATAGCGATTTAGCAAGCTTGCGCAATTCCCGTATCCACCGCAAACTTGGTCGAGGTACCTTGCCTCAGGCACTGTTATTAAAGGGTTACCCCAATGGATGAGATCTCCAGTAAGCGCTTTTACCCCCAGTACCGTCAACATACACTGAAAACCCCAGCATAATACTCCAAGGCAATTTTTCCTAAATCTTTTCTCTCATGCTGTCTCCACTTATCCCTCATTCTGCCTTTTTTTTCCATTACAGTGAACGTCGGTGTGTGGCGGGGGGGAGTAAAACGAAATGTTAATGCCAGACAGAGACTTCATCCATTTGAATTCATTCGTTTTATTTCTATATATTTTTTTCTCTCTCTCTCCTCTCTATTTTTGTTATTCAATCTCTTTGGGAAGTTTTTTTTCAGTGCTGCGTTCTCCACATGTCTCGGCATTTCTTTAATCCCACTCTTCACTGTCTCCATCCACTTCATCCCTTTTTTACGTAACTTCTGGAGCTTAAAATCCAAGGACTTTATTTGCTTTTCGACTAGCATTCCCATCAGGGGAGTTTGTCAGCACGAAATAGGGTTTTTACAATTTTCTTTTCACTCTTTCATGTCGTGATGCATACGACGGAATTTTCTTATGCCTCTCCTGATTCCTTTGGAGTTATCAGTATTCCGGTATTTATGCTATTCGGGTAATTTATTTGAATAGGAAAATGGAATTGGATCTGGGAGCACGAATAATTCGACATCTACTGAGATTATCATTCTTTTAACGTGGGAAATTATTTCGGTTCATTAATTACTTTGAGGGAAAAACGGCAACTATTGGATTTAATATTGAAAAATGGAGACTTCCTTTCATTGATATTTCCGTTCTTATGTCTTATTAGATTATAATCAATTTTAATTGATTTATTAACGTGATTTCCACTTGCGAAATGTCATTATTCATTTGGGACATTATCAATCTCTCTTAACGAAGGAGAATTTTTATTAGTTATAAATAAATCCCCGCCTTGCTGGCAACTTAATCACGTTGATGAGAATTCATTCTTGCATAATTGATAGGACTGTTCGATCACGAAGGAATTGCGGGACATTAACCTGAGAGTATTTTGATAATTCCATGGAGTACCAGAAAAAAAAAATGTGAGATAAATTTCCACCCACGTTTTAGAATTGAAAACCGATAAGTTCAGGAGAAATTAAAATCGCTCGCTGAATCTGTATCGAGAAATGATTATTTTTACTCGCGTTAATTTTATGGGAAGTCAATTTGAAATTAAAATAGTCAATAATTGAAATGATTTTTAGAATGAGTCTTAAGAGATGAAGGGAATTTTTTTCAAAAAATAATTTTTAATGGCATGAATAATTTTTCTGGATGCCAGCCTGTGGCGACGTCAGACGGACAGGGCCTCAAGCTCGTAATACTTGCTCAATGGATACATACAAAGAGTAATTATACCTTATGTCCTAATTCCCGAATATCCAGAGATTACATCAGTAATAATTACCAGTTTTACAAAAATTCTATTCTCTCGGTCCTAAAAATCAATCGATTGGGCTATTCTCTATTATCGGTCTCCAATATCTCGGAAATGAACGTGTCGATTTTGATGGGTTACATGTTATTTTAAAGAGCATAAATTGCCCTCAAAGTGGTGCAAAAATGGTGGAAATTCATTTAATGGATCCCGCAATAATCACGATGAAAAACCCCACGCTTTTTGCACTACTGCGAGGTTCATCGAATAAAATGACTTGATGATTTTTAATAATTAATACTCACCCCATTGAATGTTTTAATATTGTGCAGTGCATTCTGGGCTGCGAGAGCTGCCTTCCTCGTATAAAATGTAACAAAACAGCAGCCTGAAACAATTAATAATTCATCATGAATATCACCCACTGAAATATTAAATAACGATATTTCCCTCTACCCGGGAATCGATATTCCGATAATTATCCCCGCGTTATGATGAATTTTAAGGGAGTCTTGAATGATAAATGGGAGAAATAGGTTCGTGGTAAAAGTAGGATGATGAAGTCGTATGTGATAGAGCAGTGGTATGGGGTACAGAGTAAAATGCATAATTTCCCCCGATGGTTTTCCGTACCCCTTATTCTACCTATCCACTCACTAAATTCTGCCCATTTTCATGCATCGGGCTTCGACGGGCCGAATATTATCCGCCGCCCAATTAGCGATAATTACGACGTTGTAGAGTACCACACGCCTCTCGCTGCGCGTTTCAAATGACAGGGGATTGGAAAAAGAGGGAGCGAAGAGAATGAATCATCGTGTGCAGGATGCAGATTTATCCCCCTTCTCCACCCCTTTTTTCCGGATGTCATAATAATTATGGGGGTTTGGAAAAATCGATATGTCATTAGTTCGTGAATGGAATTTTTATGAAACGCGTCGTTCCGCCTTTTTATGACCATTGCATATTAAATTTCTTTCACTGGATATCACCAAATTTTCCCCGAAATTTCTCTGTTCGTTGTTAATGCATAATAATGGGAAATTCTCTATGAGGAGACTAACGATTTTTCTTGATAATCACTCGTGATGAAAAATTTATGTTAAAAAACGTAATGGCAATTCAATTTTAGAGAAAAGTTATAGATTTTGTGTTTTATTCAATGTATGAAAAATCTATACTAGTGAAAAATATTTGGAAATAATGATTTAAATTGAATTATTTATTTTCGAGTCGAGAATATATTCTTGCGGTGAAAGGAGTAAAATTTACCGGGTATTTGACGTGGAAGTGACGGTGAGAATGTGGGAAATTAGGTAAATTTTTCTCGAGTCAAAAGGCCATTGGGAAATATATGAATATTTTATTCAGTTTCCTTCGCTCGATTCTAACACTTTGTTGAGCAATGTAAAAAGCTCAGCAAAAGTTTTTCCTCCCTTAGATATAAATGTAGCTGTGGGACGCTCCAGAGACGAGCATTTTGTAGACAGTAAAATATCTCGATATACTTTTTACCTGTAAAAGAAGGGGCAATGTTAGTCCATGGTATTCATTGGTATTCCAGCATCGTAAAAGATGGTTTCCTTCCTTCGGGATAATATTCAAAGGCCTTTCTCCCCATTGCCAGTGTCCGAAAGAACTTTCCCGAGAATATTCTCCCGAAAAATATATGCATAGAATTATTCCGGAATAAGGGAGGACGAAAAAATTTTGAAACCGAAGTCTTTGAAATTCAATTTTGACAATATCTCGTGTTCGAAATTTCTAGAGGATAAATTCCCTGATGATGTCGGCTAGTTTGAATAATAAAATTTAACGAAAATTAGAGAGGCTTTCTGCAGAATGCCATTTTTGGAGATGATGACGAGAGTTCTTCGAAGATGGGCTGACGTTCTGATATTTCAAACGTCTGTATAACCAACTGTCCTCAATTTATCAATTTTAAAGATTCGTTCATTATCGATAAGAATTATTCATTCTTTCATTCTCATCTTATCGAATTTCTACTCGATCTATTAAAAACTCCAGAGTCTTCTTAAAAATGATAAAAGTGCCGGACGCAATCGGACAATTTTACAATTTTCAAAAAATCTCATCCTTTTTTTTTAAACAATCCCAGCGATTCTACAATTTTTAGAGAAGCTCGAGGTCACATAGAGTTTATTCTTAATTTCCAACAATCTTCTATCTTTGAACAAATTCTTTCCACATTTATCACGATTATTGAAATGATTTAAAAAAACCGCGATCCCTTTTCGGAAAAAAAAAATGGCAACTGCCATATGATCCCGCAATTTTTTTTCGGAAAAACCCAAGAGGAATCATTTAACCCGTAAGAATGGGCCGTCCCTCTCATTTTCGCGAAGGGTCGTTAGAAAAACGAAGAAGGTCGAGTTTCTTTTCTAAAAAAAAAACGGCGAGGATGTAAAAAAAAAAAGGAGAGAACCTGGTGGAGACCGAAGTCACGTTCGTCAACCGCAGCTCGGACGATTGCTCCTCATCCCTTTGAGGATAGGTTGGTGCTCCGTACCAAAAGGGCGTCCCTTCAATCTCTCATTTTTTTTTTCCCTCTTCTCTCATTTCGTTGTGGTAGCTCTCTTGCACTTTGTGCAGTCAAGACTCCATGTATTTCACTTCCCTTTTAACTTTACTGAGCTCATTCTCATCCCCTTGTAGAGGTACTGTTCTTCCGTGATACTTTTTCGTTGTTTTTTTTTTGCCTTTTGTGCTTTAGCTTTTTTAGTCTTCCGCTTCATGATTCCATCCTTTCTAGTTTATTTATGCTTTTTCGGGTTGTCTTGGGGCCAGAGGCCGATGCATGGGGATAGGCGATATGGCAAGCCTATGTCAAGCCTAGGGCTCTCAACAGCTTTTACCTATATGTTGTTGCAATATTGTGTTGGTGTACATGTGAACATCTGGAGTACGTGGGATACACTGTGTCCAGGAATTATGGTGGAGATTAGTGGGACAACGTAACGTCGTCCTATAAAGGATCAACCCTATGCCTGGGTAACAGGGTGTTGGGACACATTGTTGGGTAATGGTTAAACCCGTAATAACACGGATAATTCGAAATTTTACGTTCACACGATATTTTTTCAGTCATTTTTACGGGAAAAATTCGCACGCGGCGTTTGTGAAAATTTTAATTCTCGTGAAACATCGGAGGGAGTTGGAAATTTACAGTGATCGATTGACTCATTTTTTAATTGAATCGTTTTATTGTTTTTATTATTCATTAGAAAATCGGTTTTTTTTTGAAAATTTGGAAAATTGATGTGGCACACGTCATCTTAAAATTTCGAAGAAAAATTGAATAGAATTCGAAATTTACGGCTCGATGATCAAGGATAATTATATTTTTCATTAAAAAATAACAACAGTGAATAATTATGTTAATTAGTTGCAGTGGATTATTGTAGTTGTAATTTTTATTGTTTCATGAAAATTAATTGAATGAATTGTTAGTTCATTAATTTTTTAATGAATCGATGATATTCTTCAATTATTTATTAATTGAGAAAATTCCTTTTCATTATTATCATAATTTTGGGTCATGAATTCAAATGAAATTCATTTGATTTTTTATTCGATACTAGAAACAATTAATTCCTCAAAAAATTCGTTTCCTTTTGCTGATTGTCACGTGGTAATTGACACAATTTATTCTGCATTATGCAACCAACATTTCAATTGTTACAATGAGTACACCTGAATTACTCGGGTTAATCGTAGAAAGCCATGGGAAAGCCCCTGTAGCTGGCAGATTTCCTCATTTTCTACAAGGGTTGTGAGTTTAAATTCGACTGAATGAGTTATTACGGATAATTTGACGCATCTGGTTGTGACTATTTAACCATCTGCACCATTGTCATCAACCCGTGGGGGATTTCCACGGCTTCAGAAGCTAATTAGCTTGACATTGCTTTGAAAATTTATTCCTGCAATTATCGAAACACTTCGGGTAATTCAAAAAAAATTATTTACTCTCTTATATCAAGTGCTCTATTCACTTGTGAAGGACTTCTCCATAAAAAGAAAATTTTGTCGAGAGATGATCGCGTAGAAAGAAATGATCTATTTTTTTTATTTAAAAATCAGTGCAGCATTAATTGAAATCGTTGTGCGCTTTTTTCAAATTACAGAATTACCATCTAAAATTACGAGCGTCTCATTGAAAATCATTGATTAATGACAATAAATTTAGTGTAGACATTGTTGAAACAGTTAATTAGAATTATTATTATCGGCAAATTTTGGGCATCATTAAAATTTTTTTTTTCGCGAATCCCACTTCAATCGACTGATCGCTAAGGCCTCAATTTATTTATTTATATTTTGTTAAACATAGAAAAACGTTGATAACCAAAAATTGAGAATTCAAATCCAGACTCCCCTACATTTTTCAATTAAATTATCCAAATATTGCAACAAAACTCAAGTGCATTTCTCCCTCGTTTAACCAGAATAATTGAAACATTTCATAATTATGATTTGCATTGCAAATAATTCCCAGAGTTGTCGCGAGTTGAACCGTTGAATTCTTGAAATTTAAGAATACCTAAGAATACCTAGTTCACGGAGACTGAAGAAAAAAAAAATAAACTTAATTTACAATAACAGGACTTTCTTTCTTTTAAACGGAAAAGTGGGGGCGGTCGGGTGGCACGGTGGAGGTTGGGGTGGAGAATGGGAGGGTTGCGGAGGGGGTGAGGCTTTAGGGGGTAGAAAAAAAAAAAGCGGCATTTGTAATGTAAGCAGCAGCAGAAGCGGTTGAAGAAAAAAAATGAAGAAGTAAAAACGTGTCTTGGCAAGTTTCTCCATTCGCTGGAGGACGTAATACGGCTGAAAACCGCCAGAAACTCTCCCCCTAGTGTCAAGGCAAACGTAAAATGGTTTTTCCTCCTGGACCCCGGGTACAATACAATGCAGGGGGTTGAGAGGGGGTTAGGGGGAGGGAATGGGTGGGTAGGGGTGGGCAGGGGTGGGCGATGAGGGGGTAGACGAGGAAAATACCACTGGGAGGGAGGAAGGTTAGTGGTCTAGGTGAAACGTCGGATCTCGGAGGCAAGAACCCTCCCCTGCACTCTGTAAAATCCCTCTCTCTTCTCTCATGGTACCCCGTTTTGGTATGTGTCGGAGACGGCGGCTGGTGGCGTGAAATGAGCTGCCAGCTACGACGTACGGTCTCCGCAGTTGTTTAACTCGGCCGCTTACTAACTAAATTCGGACTGGGTTCGGCCCTCGCCACTAAACTATCCCAATCCCAACCGTTTTACTCCACTATAGTTCCCTTTCTGTATTGCATTTCCTCCAGTCGACTGCTTTATTACGTACCGTTTATTATAGTCGGTTGGAGGTGATTTTTTCGAATTAAAATTGCCC